ATAATACCCGCCGAATACCAATCGATGCGTTACTGACCTCACCCACCACTGGCAATTTACGATTCGTCTTCCAGCTTCATTAATCGGTTTATTCGTTAATTACAGTTTATTTCGAGTTGAGATACCAGAACAATTTTAATTAGAAATAGAGCATAGAAAGAGAATGATTAGAACGTAATTAGAAATTGAAAACAGAAAAGTTTAATTTCCAGTGCACTATCAGGTTGAATCGGTACAGACGGTCAAATAAGCAATGTCAGTACTCCGTTGCTGTTTAACATTACGGACTTGAGGATGCAGTTCTCCTGCGTTCGAGACGAACAGAACAATTTCTCAGCAGGCAGAATTCTAAACTGCGCACCAAACTGAGAGAGGATGGTGATGTTGGGAAGTTAATCTACACACCACCTGCAGGGAATGGGAGCGCAGTAATACAGACCATCTCAGCATATCATCACCATTTTAGCATTGTATTATTGTATGTGATACAATAATACAATGCTAAAATTAGAATTACTATTCTATACAATGCTATTGTATAGAAATAGCATAGATGTTTTATGTAAGTAACACACAAGTTTAAACATGAGTGCACGTAAGGTTGTGCTTTGAAACCACCCTGTGTGCATGTCGACTACAGTTTGTTCCTTGTTATCTCGTACCTGACGTTGAAACGATGTCCTCGCATACCAGGTATTACCAGATACACAGCAAGTACCTGATTTGTTGAACGAATGACAACAAGCGCGCGCGTAGGGAGATCCAGAGTCAGGCGCGTCTCGTCTAGCACCATACATTGGGTATACTTATGGGTAGCATGCAGGCAGATTACGTATCGATGACTGTCGACTCCTATGTATGCGAATAGATGGAGAGAGCGCTTGCCTCCCCCGGAGCTATGCGCAGGAATACGCGCCACTGGGCTATACCTATCAGGCGGGTTAGCTATAGCGTGATCCAGTGTGCATCCATTGGGTAGAGCAGTCGCAAGACAGCTATTTATGTTATGATCATCCATCGATATGGAATGAGCGTTATCTTCATTAGAGGACCACGAATCGTAGTAGTGTATGCATGAACGAATAAATCTACGCTCACATATATCTGACAGATAAGTCCCACTATGATTAAATAAGCCTAAAATACTTCGACGGGTCGTAGGATCACGATGCACTTGTAGTAAGCATCGGCTGTTGTATTACATTTGGCGATAGTTCTTTCATGATATGTAAGGTGGCATATTATGTCATCATAGAGGGCGAGCGAACCAGTACGAGCGATAGCAACTAGCTATACCTCTGATTGCTACAGAACTTAGAAATGCCAAACACAAGAGAAACATCGACAGGCTGAGATGCGCGCCATCTCTGGTGATACGAACCATTGGTGTCTAAATCGTGACGATATATATTCTATAGTTACTAGGTTGATATATATATGGATAATATCTTAGGTGCACATTAGCAATGATGATTCATGGATCGAAGTACGAGACTAAGCGAGCTACTACAGTGTGTATACTTGTTGCATATACCACAAATCCACGATTACCTCATTCGACATTCAACTTCATTAATCTTTAAATTAACTTTAGACCTGCATATGTTTGAGATGAAAGACTCATATCTTTAAATTAATTATATCTTCATATATATAATATATAATATATATATATATATAATATATATATACTACCGCAACACAAGAAATTGACATACTATCTTACATAAGTAATAATACAATAATAACAATATTCTCTGTAGTAGTTTGCAGTAAGTATCACATTACGCACGCGCAGGTAATCAAGTACATTAAACCCCTATCGGGGCACGCATGATTTGGAAACCGTCCGTTGCTAAATTTTGGCGCACCGATAGCTTCTAATAATGTCTAAACAGCTCGCAACAAGTCGCCATTTTAGCGGTAAATTTATCGAATTCAGCTCGTGCAAGATTACGATTTACAGCAATACGCTAGCAAATATATGTAAACGAATATCAGTACCATGAAGGTGAGTGATTAGTGGTCATAATAAGCTGAGGAACGTATATACACTTGCTTCTTTATTGGTGGCAAATTTTGATGAGAAAAATCGGTTAAAAATGCGGGAATCGGTTGTCTCACTCTTGTGTTATTATCTACTCTTGGTACTATCTAATATGCCAGACATTACCTCGCCTACTCCACTAACGAGTCTAGGGAGTCGCCTATGCCTACTCCCTAACCCTATCAGATAGTTACCAGAGTACGTTCCGGTATACCGGACCATAACCAGGGTACGTTCCGGCAGTACCCTGGGGGACATAGACCCTATGAGCCATAGTATACCTACATTTTCGTTTTGATTTAATATATATACTGAAGTGGATTAATTTTGTATACACCCACCTGATTTCAAACAAACCCAGATGCTCTGCATCGCTGATGTCATATGAAAAGCATGCTTGAGCTATGTTGATTTCACCTAATGGCTGATTGTCATTAGGTCCTCTGTACTGCAGAAGTTTACATCTTACGTCATCGAAAACAAACCATCTTTTCTTAAAAGTTTTGACAAGTCCAAGTTTTATGCCAATTTTTAAGTAGCCACACAGCCTCGGTTTAGCCTCTTCTGGTTCAGCAGTTTCCTCCATTGACAAAGACGACGCACCACAAGATTAAACTAGAAAACCTCTCAATCTTTTATCTTACAGACTCGTGAAATCATAACATATAACTTTCCTGAAGCACATCAGATGAATGTTACAGAAAGTCATAAAAGTTACAGAACTTTCGCCACCGCCTTCAAAGTTGTTTACTTCTCAGGTTTACTTTACAGCTACACCAGCGCCACGCGTGGCCGCGTACAGATTGCATTAAAGGTTAATGGAGGGCGCCACTGTTACCCCGCCTTTTATCAAATGTTCGCAACTTTGTTATTTACGTAAATATATTGATCTATTTAACTTGAAAAGGGCAAGCACATTTTTCTGTGCACATTGAATCGAAGACCGAAGACAGAAGCATCAGAATTATGGGTATGAAACAAATATACTAGTTAATTTATTGAGATAATCGTAATCATTGAATCACCCTGCAGCACTGAGTACCGTAGCGACGAAACGTACATGTAATGATGTATTGTAAACTACACTGTAATCGTAACGTGAAAAAGGTCCTGTACGTAGCTCCAAGAAACGTTCTTTGCTAGCCAGCTAGGGTTAGAAGACCCCTGCTATATAGAAGACCCTTGTGTATATTGACGTTAGTCGTGACACAGCCTGGTCGGGCTATCATATACGTTAAGGATACTCAGCAGGTTGCGCAAGGGTATTGCTCTAGTGAAGATTAAACGTTTATTGGCGAATGAATCGAATCAATCACTTGTTTTATTTATAGAGGAGATATATACATCTTGGCACCTCGATGCCACACGTATCAGCTAAGCTCACACCTGAGTCTGACAGGCGCGTTGGATGTTCGGGGAGGCCAAGCTCTTCTCCATCTATCGCATCGTGGAGCAGTCTCGATACGACTTCCTGTGTGGACGCCTCCTCCTGCTCTCCCTCGCGCCGCGGCTTGTTCCATTCGTTCAACAACATCAGGTACTTGCTGTGTATCTGGTAATACCTAGTTATGCAGGAACATCGTTTCAACGTCAAGGTCACGAGCGAAAACAGGAACAAACTGTAGTCGACATGCACACAGGGTGGTTCAAAGCACAACCTTACGTGCACTCACGTTTAAACTTGTGTCGTCATACTTACATAAAACATCTATGCCATTTCTATACAATAACACATGAAATTATATGCTAAGATGGTGATGATATGCTGAGATGGTCTGTATTACCTTGCCTCCCATTCCTTGCAGGTGGTGTGTAGATTAACTTCCCTAACATCACCATCCTCTCTCAGTTGGTGCAGTTCTAGAATCTCCATGCTGAGAAACTTGTTCTGTGTCTCGAACGCAGACACTGCATCCTCCAAGTCCGTAATCTGTTAAACAGCAACGAGTACTGACATTGCTCATTTGGCAGTCTGTACCGATTCAACCTTACTGTTTTCAATTTCTAACTACGTTCTAATCATTCTCTTTCTATGCTCTATTACTAATTAAAATTGTTCTGGTATCTCAACTCAAAATAAACTGTAATTAACGAATAAACACGATTAATAACGTGGAAACGAATCGTAATTGCAAGTGGTGGCGGCGGTGGTGGAGAAGTCGTGTTAGTTTACCGACCTGGTCGCGCGCTTCACGCATCTTTATCTCGGCTTCGCGCAGTGACGTCACATCGTCGTCTTCGTAGAACTTGCTCCTTCCATCCACGCGCGCCCCCGTCTTCTTACAGTGCCGATGATTCTCCGCCTCCTCCTCCAGTTCTATTATTCTGTGGCTCAGTGACATTACAACCTGGTGCGTCAACGTAAGCAATGAACGTTTATACGGTGAGTGAAGTAACGAGACGGTTCGGGCAAAATATACCTATATATAGGGATAATTAATGGTAACATCCTTCCAAGAGAATGGATATTATCAGAAGTGTATAATATAGATACACTATATATAATCTATTTTATGACACCAGTGATATTATTATCATGCATCTGAAGCGCATTATATATGTAAATAACTGTGTCATCGGTTAATTTCTAGTTTATGGTTAATTTTTTTACAGAAGGATGCCTTAAGAAAAGCAATGAACAGTGTCTAACAGCATCTCGTACCTCATCCTTTGCTTGCATCGTTTCTTCAAACATTGACAGATTTGATTTGAAGTCTTTATTCTCAAATTCTAGAGTTCTACAACGTTTTGAGAATCAAGAATTATGAGTTAACATCAAAGTACTTCCACTACTTCCAGCCACTCGCAATTATTCTCCTAAAGCATTCACACATATTATATTGTCATATAGGTTTCGAGTTAAAATAATAAAAATAAAGTTATTAGGTAAAATAAAGTACTGCTAGGTTTAAGCTGTTCTCCAGTGTTAACTTACTCAATCTTGCTGTTGAGGATTTGCTCTTGTTTACTAAGTAAAGCCACCTGGTGTTGCATATCAATAGTTTGCTCCTCCCTATTGTGCAGCAGCTCTAACTTATCCTTCTCCAAGTCACAGGAGTTCAAAAAATTCCTGACAAAGAATAAAGGCTATTAAACAGTAAATCATTGAAACCATAGTTTACAGTTCATTAGTTAACTTCCTTACAGTCAAGAATATAGCTAAAAAACAGAAAATGAGGTGCAATTCAATGGAAATTACTTGTCATCTGATAAGTGTTCCATCCCATGACAAAAGACAAATGTCACCCAACTACATATATATTCCTCCGTGTCGTGGACATTTTCCACCAAAAAAGAGCAAGCAGTACAACCCGATTAGTTCAGCAGTTTGGAAAAGTTGTTGTTTGTATCTCTCATTCAAAACACGTATCACACGTCACAGAATTTCCCCACACTTCCAAGCCAGTCAAAAATGCGAATCCCTACAGCCCAGCAATTCTACTGTTCATGGAGATTCTTCGTCCAATCCTGTATAGCAGAGTGAGTAGAGGCTACTCCTACATATATACTGACTAGTGACCTCACTGTGCTTACATGCTCAGATACACATACCATGAGCTCCTATGCAGCTCCAGACAGTCAATCTTCTTCTGTAGCTCGCTGTTTGATGTTCGCGCTGCACCAAGCTCTGCGTCAGCGGCAGCCAAGTCCTCTCTCAAGGTCATGATGAAGAGCTCCAACTAGAGTCCCCGCGCGCCGCGCCACAAAACCAAATTAGCTCGATCAACAATGTTTTCATACGATCTTTCAAAAATGCATTGATCTACAGTCACATGTGTTTTGTTCTTGATTGTCACGTGACCTCGTGCAATGTCGTTTGCTATTTAAGGCATCCATGGAGATCTGTACGTGTGAACAAGTGTAAATTTGTACCAGATTTTTTTGTACTGTCTACCCACCAATGTTTGTCTGTGTTCTGTGTATTAATCTATATTATTACAAATAGAGATGATGACGAAGCATGCCTCATACTTAAAAGATATATAATATTTACTTACGGTAAAAGATATACACAATCCCATAAGGTACCTGCTGGCATTTTGTACATTCCTGCTCCGATGAACTTAATATCCGTGCGGTTTCTGCGTTAGTCGACATACGTCGTCTATAGAAAGCTTTGAGAGTCGGCAGACGGGCTTTCTTCATCGGATCTTTGTTGGTCAGGGTTTGCGTTGTGGGAACTGTGTCTACACAACCTAGAAGAGAATCAAGAACTAAGCCACAAATCTATACTATTTTAGCTTACACGCTAATCGAGAGATGGAAATAGTTTTCACAAAGTTCAGGATACACTTTCACAAAGTCACGGAATGAGCTTAGCAAAATAGTATACGTCAATTGTCGTAAGTTATCTATGTGTCATGTAATCAGTATGCAAGACGTTAAAACTTCAAAAACTACAACAGATATCTCACACTCTTCATTCAAAGTATAGGAATCTTTGCTCTTCAAGGGTTTCTTCAGGACGAGAGCATTTTTTAGCTGCGAGGTGATGGTGTTGAAATCTGGCGTCCACGCTTCCTTTTTATCCGCGACGTGTTCGCCAATCTCCTCACTAGGTGGCGCTACTGGAGCCAGCATTTGGGTAGCAGTCTCTGGACACTCGACACTAATCAGGGGAGGATGAGCAAGTCCTTTATCTTCCTGTTGATGACAAGAAATGTACAACAGAAACATATTAGTTTGAAAGAAAAATAGGAATTAAATTTGTTAGTAATCACATACTCATGTTCAGATATCTTGTTACTAATGCGCATACTATATAACGAGCCACCAAAAAGATTGCAGTCAGCCAGGGTGCCTATCAAACTATACCTACAAACATCACTGTACCAATATATCAACATAGTACTTATGGGTCTATCGTTAAGATATATGTGACTTTTTAAAAATGAAATTGGGATTGCTTTGATATGTACAAACTTCTTACCCTTTGTCTGTACTAATATAATATGTCACGTTGTCTTATAGATCCATCTCAATATATATGCGACTATTTAACAAGGAAATTGGGATTGCTTTGAGATTTGATAACTGCTTACACTGCTCTCAACTTTTCTGGATGTGCGTGACGACGAGTGAGAGAGACTCGTCTGCTTGTAGCTGTAGGATCGACGATGTTTCTGCAACTCCTGAAGCCAGAACATCCGAGTTTGCGCTTCTGATGCCTGTAGGTGCCACACCTGCTGTTTATGCCTACAGTTTGAAGTATTTAAAGCAATTTAACACATTTTGCAACTGCTAACGAATGCATGCATACATCGATCGAGCTCATAACCAACGTCACAGCGTGCGATTACATTTTTTTGCATGTCGTAGTAACAGTAACATTACCTACTTGCCGACATATTCATATATTACATGATCATGGATCTCATACTCATAGGTCTATGACCATGACATATATTTCATAGAATTCACGATGTGTTTCTTAATGTACATACGATAGGAACCTTAAGCAGGTACCTACATGTTAGGGACCAAGGATATAAGATCTGTCCACATTTGCACATTGCCATTGGCACATGTCGCACATTTGCGAAAATGCATTGGGGACAGCTAGCTCTTGTAATTGTATCCTTGAACCCATGTAACGTTAGTATGGCAAGGCTCGACACTAACTTTTTTTTTCAGTGGCCCGATCGGGCCACCAAAATCATTGATTTTCAATTTTTGGTGGCCCGAAAATGAAATCTGGT